TATCATACGATTTCAAATGGTTCCAATATTTCTAACTGCCAGATCATTAAATTATCCTCGCTACTCCTACTGTATTCACCTCATTCATTGTTAAACAGTAGCTTAATTTATGAAATTTAGCATACAGTAGGATCAAAATTAATCACTTCAAATAATTTTTAAACCAATACTCTGCACGCCCTTAATGACACGTTTCAAGAATAAAAAGAATCACGAATTTTGGACTAAATAACTTTATTGTTGGTAGTGATCTTCACGCAGTCATTCTGAAATAATTTTACATCTTGTAGAATCAACCAAATAGTATCTACTGATGATGTTCAAAACCAAAGTTCTCATCATCAGAGAAGATACAGATAGGGAACAGGGAAAGGTGAGAAAGACAGGTTTGAAATAAAGTCTGAGAAGAAATTCATGACATGTAAACAATGCACTTCCTGGCTCCATTCCCTGAAAGGGCCTAGAAACAATAATACCCAGTAGCATCCAGATCTTGATTTCCCAAGAAAAGAAAGCGGGCTTTTCCTTTAAGAAATAGCCAGATACCAGTCTGGGGCAGGCAAAGTATATGATAAACCTAAAATATCTCGCTATAGCAAAAGGCCCGGTATTATGCCTTTTAGGCACAAGTCAAAATAATCATAATTAAGCTTAAAGGTGTTCCTGCTGACTAAATTTGGAATTCCAGTAATTTAAATAGAGTGTTTAAAAAGAATCAATGAACCCAAAGATACTAAAAATAATAATAAAAAGTGGATAAGAGGGAGGAAAAATGCTTCTTTGTAAAAGAGTGCTAGCTAATAATGCAGATGAAATACTAGGTTTAGAAAGTTCCAATTTGCAGCAATCAATAAAATAATAGATTCTGCAATGAACACTATAAAACCATTGCATGAACAGGATCTCTAAACAGTCTCCAAGTATCTCCTCCCAAGTTATTTGCTTTTTAAAAAAAGATGTTTTTTATTTTTAAAATATAAAGATCTGACAGAATCCAAGTGACAAACTTGTATTGGCATTAAATATGACAATATTATATGCCTCCTAAAGAGATATGATGCAATGAATAGGACATACCATATGCCATTATGGTGTCTTCTGCCAAAATGTTTATCTTGAACCTACTCATGAGAAACAGAGAAAGACAGAATTCTACAAGCTAACTGGCCTGCTTTTTTCCAAGTGTCAATTTCATTAAAAAAAAAAAAAAAAAAAAAAAAAAGGCGGGGGAGGGATTGCTCTAGAGCAGTGTTTCCCAAAGTGTGGTACGCGTACCCCCAGGAGTACGGGAAGTTTAGTGGGGGTACGGGTTGCACCGGAGTTTGGTGGGGATATGTACTGCACCGTGCTTAGCTGCGCCTAATTCTACGTTCTCATGAGTACGAGGGGTACTTAGCATTATGAAAATTATAGAAGGGCTACAAATATGTCAAAAGTTTGGGAAACACTGCTCTAGAGTAAAGAAGACCACAGATATATAGCAACTGAATGCCATTGGTCTGGATGCTGGATTAAAAAAAAAAAAAAAAAAAAAAAAAACTTTGAAGAACAGTTTGTAAGAAATTGAGAATCAATTGAATATGTATGATACATTAGCCCAACGATTTCCAACCGGTGTATCATAAGAAATTTTTAAAACATGCAATATCTGATTATTTAGTCAGGGTCACTGACTTCTTTTCCCTTAGGTTGCCAAATGAAAAAAATAACGGCTAACACAAAAGCCATCTGGTGTGAATAAATTAAAATAATATCTTTTTTGGGGGGTCAGATCAGCAAAAAAAACTTTTTTTGGTGTGCCGAATTTTAGTTAGTTTGTGTGCTGTGAAATGAAAAAGGTTGAAAATCACCACACTTAACAATTCTGTATCAATGTTAAATCCCTGGGTAAGATAACTATACTATGGCCCTGTAGGAAATGTCCTTATGTTTTAAGTTACATGCTGAGTAACGAGTAAAGTACAATGCCACTTTCAAATAAAAAGTGTGCTTATATAGACAAATTATGACAAAATAACAACTGTTGAGTACAAGAAAAAGATATATGATTATTTCATAGTACTATACTTTCAAGTTTTTTTTTTTAATTTTCAAAATAAAAATTTGGAAGTAAAAAAAAAAAGAGAAATAGCTTACTGATACCATGGGGTGCATTGGGAGCTTTAGCAAAGTGAAGCATCCTGCTCTTAATTTTAACCAAACCCAAGGAAATACCAGAAGTGATAATAGAACAAAGTGAGGAATCAAGCTAAGTTGGCAAACAAGATATCTAAACTTCTTCCTATTAACTTAAGACATGTGGATGGCAAGTAGTATAAAGGTGTTGCTAAATGAGTTCTAATGAACCTTAATCCATTTTTTCAGCAAAAGACATAAAATGAAATTAAAAGGCTAATATGTTTTTCTTCCTCTAAATTATAATTCCAAAGGGGCATGGAGGACTGGTAGGGGGGGAAAAAAGATTATCTTAAAAATTATTACAGCCCTAGCAGGTTTGGCACAGTGGAGAGTGTTGTCCTGCAGACCATAGGATCCCAGATTCAATTCAATTCTGCTCTTGCACATCAGGCTCATCACGGGCCCAGGACCCAGTAGGGAGTGTGCAGGAGGTAACCAATCAATGTGTTTCTCTTACATCAATGTTTCTCTGTTTTTCCCCTCTCTCTTCCACTCTCCCTAAAATCAATGGAAAAATATCCTTGGGTGAGGAATAACAAAACAAAACATTATTACCAAAAACAGTTAACACATTGGCTCATTTTTTTTTTTTTTTTGAGAACTTGGCAGAATGATGTAGCTAGATGTTTTCTTATCTAAAACTAATAAACATCTATAATTAGATATATACAATCAAAACCTGTATTATTTTAAAATCTCCCAAACCGAGAAAAGCATCACCACCAGTATGGTGTCTTATCTTTTTTTTTTTTAAATATATATTTTATTGATTTTTTTCAGAGAGGAAGGGAGAGAGATAGAGAGCTAGCAACGTCAATGAGAGAGAAACACTGACCAGCTGCCTCTTGCACACCCCCTAATGGGGATGTGCCCGCAACCAATGTACATGCCCTTGGCCGGAATTGAACCTGGGACCTTTCAGTCCGCAGACTGACGCTCTACCACTGAGCCAAACCGGTTTCGGCGGTGTCTTATTTTTTAACAAAAGAACCATCCCACCAAGATCTTTTCCTGGAGCTTATTTTGTAATGATAAGACACTGAATCAGCACACACTTCATCCCACTATCAGTACATACAATGCTCCACTAACTATGTAGCATTTTCTGTCTTAAGAGCTCTCAAAAAACACATTTGCATCTCAAATATTGCTGGTAGACTCTGCTGAACTAAACACAGTACTGGAATTTTTATATAGCCATTAAACTTGAAGAAGTATTTTTATTCAAATAGTCGTGAGTTTATTTTAGATTCTGAAATCAACCACCCCATTTCCCTCTGAAATCCCAAACAAAATGCAGCAAAGTTAATGACTACATGGCAGGATAATCACTCAAACTTTTTAATCTCCCTTTACACATTATATTAACATTCATATTGCAAGGCATTCCATTCACAAATATTACAGTTTGATAAAAAACTTCGCACACATACCCCCGAAAGTCTACACCAGATTCAGTCAGCTGACTAAATCATTAAAATAATAAAATGAAAACATTGTCATAATTCTTTTAAAGCAATAATGTCTGAGGCACTCTGGGAAAGATATTCTCCTACAAGTATTAACATGTCAGTGGTATCAAATTATCTTACAAGAAAGTCACCTGAAACTCTTAACGACAATGCCTTTGATCTGCTATGCCTTCACCGGAAGCAATCCTGCTCGGACTGACCTACTGAAGAAAAAAAAAAGATACTGGGCAGCTGAAGTCACTTCTAATGAGGCTCCCAGCGATGTGAAGGTGAAGAATGATTACAGCTGTATCCCTGCTGCCAGGAGACAGTCCAGTCTTGCAAGGGGTTCCTTTCTCCTCATCACCAGTTTTACTAAACGTTAGGCCTAACTTCTCACCTGACTGACTTCGCTCACTTCTGGAGAGCTTTCAAAACTGGCTCTTCCCATCCACTCCCATAGTGCAGTCCCCACCCTCCTCTGAACATCTCCAAGGTATGCTCTAGAAATAAAAAAGAGTGGAAGAAAGGGAACTCTCTGCCTCCCATTTTGACCAGAGAGAGGTTTGAAATAGCAATGTATTACAAAATCCTCATGCTCTGCAACAGCCACTACCACATGGAGCTTGGCTATTTTTGCCATAAACTAGATTATTAAAAAACCTAACCTTTTCCCAAAGTGAATTTTGCCATATCCATTCACTGACGGTCTGACCGAGTATTTCCTTCCACACAACCACAAAGGTAAATAATTAGCATTGTGGGGTTGGGGGGGGGGGGGGGAGGACGACAACAATTCCCAACTGGGAATTAACCCACTGCACACTATGGTCCATTTAGGACAGCGTATAACCCCATCAGAGCAGAATCAACACACAGCCCGGGCACATAGTGTTCAGTAATTACATATAAGGAATTTAAAAGGTATACATATATATTTCCTATATAATAAAAAAAAAAATCTGAAACAACATACGTTGCTAAAGTTTCAAGGTTTCTCATGTTCCACATTCATCTATCTGGAAAGCAGCTGGCTCTCGGTGCCCAGTTGTGGCAGTGATAAAAGCAACTAGAAGCAGGTTTAGGCAAAAGTGCTCAAAGGTCAAATGAGAAGACAGGGGTGCAGCAGAGACTGGGGGTGGGAGGAGGGAGAGAGGGGAACACTGAAAGGAGTTGAAAGTGTTTCCTTTACTCTTCTTGGCTTTTCCAGACCCAAGACAAGGTCTTGAGGACACGTGTCAAATGCTGCAATCCTTCCTTATCTATAGTCAAAACAAAACAAATAATAAAAAATCTCTCTTCCATCCTGTACTCTCAGTAAAAAGCCAAGCACAGCCAGGAAGTGTGACTGAGATGCCCATCTCGGGGAGATTAAAACTGGGACATGAAGTGAGGCCGCTCGCTATCCAGTCGCCGGGTTAGGATTTCACAGCCAGTGTCCGTGACCAGCAGGGTGTGCTCAAACTGAGCAGACCGCTTCCCGTCTCTCGTCACTGCGGTCCACCCGTCTGGCCAGGTTTCATCCTGCCATCCACCTAAAACAACCAGAAACAATTTCTTACTTCCATCATCCAGTTTTCTAAATAAGTCTAGGTAAGTGTATCTGTGTATCCTGTATCTACACATAGCACAGAAAAATCAATTAGAAAATTCTCTATTAAGATTCCTACTTACACGTCAACTAAGTTTTAGCTAAAGCCGTTGATATTTAAATTTACATAGGTGTTATAACTTGACATGTTTTATACTTCCCAAATAACAAGTCAAGGTAGTATTTCCAAAATAAAAGCACTCGGGTTTCATTTTAGAAAACATATTAATACCACTCACCATAAAGCTGTAAAAAACAAACAACAAAACACAATGAATGAATTTAGCTCTTTCCTGGTATAACTCTGGCATCTGATTAAACTATATAGCCAGTGTTAATAAAGATCACCTCTCTTAATTCTTACAGCATCCCTGGAGAAGTGGCAAAATATAAACTCTTTTTCCCATTTTACAGAAAATAGTAGGCAACCTCTCAAAGGATCTCCAATGCTCCCCTCCGCCACTTGAGAGCAAGCTGGGTTTAGATACCCAGGTCTAAGGAAGAGAATCTGGTAGAAGTAACAGGATGTCTGTCCCAAGATGAAGTTATACAATAGACTGGGAGGATCAGAGACAGGCATATCCTTTCACACAGGGCCCAGGACACATGCCTACTACTACTGCCTCACTCTGCGCCCCTAATCCCAACAAAGAGCGGGCAGAAAGGAAAGGTGAAGGCTTCACGAAGCAGACCCGAGTTACCAACTGAGTCTATCATCATTGCCACATGCCCACCACAGAAATAGCAACAGTGAGGACATACAACTGCCAGCACTGGGTATGTCTGTGCTGTGCTTTCTCCACAATAGTTGTATGACACCATCTGACATCATGAGTGCAGACCTGGAAGAGGCAGAACAGCTCAGGACACTGGAGTCCGACAAAATCTGCCATGTAACTAGCCAAATGACTTTATGCAAGTTACTTCATCTCTTGGAGGATCAATTTGCTCTTCTGTATAATGGGGACAGCACCGACCTCATTAATTGTGGAGAATTAAATCATTTAACTGTGTCAAAGTGAGTGGCTCTACTTCTTTTCTCTTCCTCTCTATCTTCCCACCCTTTCCCCATATCAAGCAAGAATTTCTACACTGGCTTGATGGAGGCTTCTAATTGCAACAATGTAGACCCTAGCTAGGTGGTTCAGTTGATTAGAGTGTCGTCCAGATACACCAAAGTTGTGGGTTCAATCCCCTGTCAGAGCCCATACAAGAAGCAACCAGTAAATGAATAAGTAAATGGAACAACAAACGGATGTCTGTCTCTCTCTCTTCCCTTAAATCAATCAATAAATATTTAAAAATTTAAATTCATTTGAAAGGATCTTTATGAAAAGGGAACAGGATTCAAGTACTTCAGCATCTACTGACAAGAGAAAGTACTGCTTTCTTGCCAACCCTTACAATGTTTAAACATTTATTTTTTTAATCCTCACCCAAGGACATGCTGAGAGAGGAGAGGTGAGGGAAAGGGAGAGAGAAGAGAGGAGAGAGGAGAGAGGAGAGAGGAGAGAGGAGAGAGGAGAGAGGAGAGAGGAGAGAGGAGAGAGGAGAGAGGAGAGAGGAGAGAGGAGGTCACTAGTTTGTTAATAATCTACTGCAAGAAAGAGAGAGAGGGAGAGAGAACAGTTGCCTTCTGTTCGTGTCCCAACTAGGAGTGGAACCAGCAACCTTTTGGTGCACAGGACAATGCTCAACAACAGAGTCACTCCAGCAGGGCAAGCCTTACCATGTTTTCTTCTCTACATACACTAAACCAAGTGGAAATGGGACAGGGAGCAGAAATGAAGCAAAAAGTAAGTAGAGCAGACTACTAATTTGTACATCAGTAACTAAGAGTAAACAAAAATCCAATTAAGGAATGTACAGCATCCTTTTTGCTCACCTTCACAAATCATTGGCTCAATGGTAAATACGTGGCCCGCCTTCATCACTCCAACTGCTTTATTTTCTGAAATTAAAGAAGAAAAAAAACTAAAAACATAGCAAAAAACCGAGTGTATTGTTGAAAAGCTCACTGGATAGAAGAGACAACTATATTCCCATTAGTTATCCTCAATTACCTTCTCCTCTCGTGATTCTCCTTTCTTGCAGTAGATTATTAACAACTAGTGACCCAACTGTGCAAGAATGGGCCTTCGTTCCCCTGGCTGCAGGCACCGCCTTCGCTCTGGCCGAGCCGCCTTTCTGCCTTCCTATGCTGCCCAGAGCAGCTGGGGTGGTGCAAACGTCCTGCCCCATCCCCGACCACTCAGGGTCTACCACTCAGGATCTACATATGCAAATCAACCCAACATCTTTGTTGGGTTGATTTGCATACTCACTCATGATTGGCTGGTGAGCATCACAAATGTATAGTCAATTAGCATGTTACTCTTTTATTAGGTAGACTCATAACCCAACCACCTAGTTTGGAGCAGATACTCTCCTCCATGCACTTCACACTGCTTATGTTTTCTCTAGGAAAATACACAGATATCCAGAGGCTGAATTTTTAGATGTGGCTATCACTTTTACAAAATGAAAAGTGCCACCATTTATGTTATAGCAGGATAAGAAATGCAATTATAGAACCAAGCAAAATTCCTTACTCATCCAGGTATAACAGAGATGTGTGTGGATGTGGGGTGGGAGGAGGCACAGCTCATAGAAACATTGCGTGATTTTTCAGTTGTTTTCTTTTCCTTATCTTCAAAGGAGAAAAAAGCCTCTGCACACTAACCTATTTTTTTTTTTTAATGTTGATGACACTATTCCTTTTTATTTGAAATCAGAAATTCCATTTCTCCTTCCAAATACTGTTTAACTTTTGGTCCAAATTCACTAACATAAGAGTATTTTTCAGGACCATCATGAGAAATGCAACTATTAGTCAAACTGTCTAGACCTACCATCCCTCCCCAGGATGCCAAAAGTTAAAAATAGAATAGGCCTTTTTAGATACTCTCAGACAAAAACAGAGAACCAGTTTAAATTTCAAATTAAAAACCAACTAATAAAAGCCCAATAAATGAATGCCTGCATTTACTCCACCAGACCAACAGGTGGCCAAAACAGGGGTTTTTTTTGGTCTGATTGTTTGTCTTCATGTTGCTGACTTTGGTAATGAATGACATGCCCATTGAGGCTGAATTTACTAATATCACACTTTCTAGGTATGGTCTAACCTCACCCACAACCTTCCTTGTGCAAGCTATCATGCTGGCTTCCACTACCTTAGGTGTTGCCAAAATCTGAGGAATAAACATAATTTTGACTTTTTATTTCTAATCTAAATAACTTTCTCCAAATGACATGCAATTACTACATATAAAGAATTGGTCCTATTCCCTTGAGGATATCAAAAAGAAAACATCAAGAGTTTCAGTGTGGTGTCATGGACAGAAAAATGGATGAAGAAATTTAGAACTGCTGTTGGACACGGCAGCACTGGCTGTGAGTAGCCACTGAGCACTGGAAAAGTGGTTGGTACAAAATGAAATGGGCTGTAAGTGTAAAAATATGCAGATTTCAAAGACAAAAAAAGCATGCAATATCTCTCAATAACTTTTTACATTCATTACATGTTGAAATGCTACTATTTTGAATGTAATAGACAAAATAAAATGTACTATTAAAATTAATTTCACCTATTTCTTTTACTCTTTGAATAGGACCATTAGAGATTTTTACATTACATATGTGCCCCATCTATTCTATTGAACAGCACTGATAAAGAGAATCTGAGCTCCTCTCCCAATTCTGCCATTGACTCATTATTCTAAAAAGGTTACAACTCCCACATATCTTGGCTCATGGTTTGTTTCTCAATGTATCTCAACAATACACACTATCTGAATGATTACACTATTGCAGACACTGTGTTAAGGGCTTTTTAAAAAATGTGTACCTCACAGAATTATTGCAATATACATTCTAAATGTAGGTATTATCATCATCACTTTCCAACCATCAATCACCTAAATAATGAAGCGAACTCTCATCTAATAAGGACTTCTCTCAGACTGAAGGGGTGGAGGGAAGTTAACACAATTTCCTGGTTCCAGCCTCAGTAGGTCAGGCATATGGAGTTACAAACCTAAGCAGAGATCATTTACATTCCCAAAGGCCTCCGCTCCACAAGGACTCTCTCAGCAGTTTCCTCTAACACTTCCCTACAGTGAGCTCAACAGATTCTGATTTACATAAACCAGATTTACAGTGACGTTTCATAAACATATCAAATGTATGAAATGAAGTAGATCTAGCTCACCCTTGCTTCTTTCCTCAGAATTTTTTTATTTATTTCTAACTAGATGGTTTTAAAAAACTTCAAGTGGCATCTCTTGAATACCAATGGCACCGTATTTTGCTGACCCCAATATCACTGACACATATCTCCTCTCCCACAAATTCTGTCTCCTTCCAACAGTCTCTCTTTGTATCACCCACACCTAAATCTAAGTTTGTCACCTCTGTAAGGGCACATTTTCATTCCCTCCCTGCACAGATACTTTTTATTCACACACACACGCCCCACTGTAATCAGAATAGCTACTTCTGTCCTAAGAGAATGCACACCACTTGATTACAGGGCTTACCAGTAAGGAACGGAGTCAGCTACTAGTTTTCTGCTCCTAGCTTTTATTTCAAGCATAATTCATAACTTAAACAAAAAGAACTATGTGGCCTGCTAATAAATGCTTATTGATCTATGTCTTCAGCTCCTCCTAAGTGGCTTCTGGCTCATTTCCCTTCCTCTTCACAATATGCCTTCCAGGATTTTACCACCTCACAACTGGACCACTGCCAGTGCACTGGGCTAATAACACCAGTTCCTAACTCCAGTCCATTCTACATACCACTGCCAAATCGGTCTTCCCAAAATAGCCACTCCATTTGCCACTCCTCTGCCCAAAAATGTTTCTAAAAATTCCTACAAATAAAGTCAATGTCCTCAGACTGGCACTGCTATTACTAATAGTTCTTAACACATAATAGCCAACCTTGTATTATTATCCCTGTCCAGTCTCAACTTGAAGCACCTGTTCATGCTTCCCCTCCACTGGGAATGGTCCTCATCTTCCCCGTCAAACCAAGCCTTGGCCACTCTTTGTTTCCCCGCAGGCCTAGCACCGCACTGCTGCAGTCTTTACCAGGCAGCACAACGTACAGGAGAAGACTGTCCCTAGATAGCCAGACAGAACCCAGGTACAAATCCTAATCCTGGCATTTCCTTACTAGTTTGTGTGAAGCTGAGTAAATGAATTACTTCTCTAAACATAAATCTGCTTTTTTAAATAGGGCTAAGAAATTATGCAAGGAGTAGTGATGATCAAATGAGATAATGTATGATTTTTCAACCTTTTTCACCTCATGAATCATATGAACTTATTACTAAAATTCTGGAGACTTTTTGCCAATATAATAAAAAAGTATAACTTCGATTGATTTATATAAAAAATATTAATGGTAATTACCTACCTTTTTTGCTCCAAGTGACTTTTAAAAAAAAATCAGGTACCTATACTTGTATGTAAGAATTTCTGGTACCAAGCATTAACCAATCGGATGCAACTTTATTATACAACGTAACCAATAAAATGCAGCTCTATTATATAACCTATATAGTTATGGTTTAAGACAGGGCATTCACACCAGATGGCTATTGGACAATCTAAGGGAAAAGAGGTCAGTGCACTGGACTAAATAGTCAGGTATTGCATGATTTACAATTCTTGTGGCACATTAGGGTGCTGCAGCATACTGGCTGAAAATCACTGAGGTCATGTATATAATAATCACCACCATTCAAAAGGTTAACGCTAAGTGTTTTCTATGTAATAATATCTCACTTTACCCTAATGACAGTTCTAGGGTAGGTGCCAGCCATTCCCTACAATTACACAGATGAGAAAACTTAAGCAACAAGGAGATTGACGAAAACGTTTACATAGCAATTGTTAAATTCCTTCTCAGGTCACTTACTGTGAACAGCTTTCATTTACAGCACTAAATAACAAGACTTACTCCTGTATGTCCTATTCTCCAAGAAAAAAGCTTTCTGGGAGAAAACTGTCCTACGTTTCCTTTGTTATTCTATCAGACAGCACTCAGCTGGAAGAAAGGTACTTTGTCTATTCCCCTCATTACCCCAACAAATAATACAAAATCTGACTCAGGCTAAGAACTCATGTCAAACCAAGCTGAAGCTATTTCATTGAAGGAATCAATAGTGATGGCTAGACAGGTAGCTGAGACTGTTAACTAGTACCAAAATTAGTTTACTTTTCTCCTAGAGTATTTAGCTAGATAACATTCTTAACCTCCCTTACAATTAGTGTAGCCACGTGACTAAATTTCTGCAAATGAAAAGTATATGTAATTATCCCAAATCCAGGCTGCCTCATTAAAACCTCCCAAGCATACCCATCCAATGCTTCCCCCTTCCCCAATCCTATATAATTAAAGGGTAATATGCAAATCGACCTAATGGCAGAACGACCAATCACTCTGACGAGCACTGACCACCAGGGGGTGGTAGACACTCAAAGCAGGAACTGCCCCCTGGTAGTCCGTGCGCTCCCACAGGAGGAACGCCACTCAGCCAGAAGCCCTGAGCCAGGCTCATGGCTGGCAAGTGCAGTGGTGGTGGCAGGAGGCTCTCCCGCTTCAGTGGCAGCACTAAGGATATCCATGGGGTGCAGGCCGGGCTGAAGGACCACCCTCCCCCACTCCAGAGTGCAGGATTTTCATGCACCAGGCTTCTATTATTTATAGATTAGGAGGGAAACTCCCACAGTGATCAAACACATATGCCTTGGATTGTTATATGAACAACATGTACATGTAAACATGTATTGTGTTTGAGCTAATATACATTTTAGGGTCTATTTATAACAGCTAATAGAATATTCTAATAAGTACAAAATAGTAGACCCTGTTAAATGTTTGAATAAATATTTGTTGAGTAAATGGTGAGCAAATATCAAATCTTTGGATGGTACTTACTGGCATAGTGGGGTACGTTGGGGGCTGTATGAAAAAGCTTATGGATTCCATGTCCACAGTAGCTTCGAACAACTGAAAAGCCATTTGCTTGGGCATGCTTCTGAATAATGTTTCCCAGTTCTCTGTATCGAACGCCAGGTTTCACTAAAGGGGAAAGAGAAGACTTATGAAACAGTAATAAAAGCTAATGTTTACTAAGCAATTACTATCAATGTCCCAAGAACCTTTCTGAATGCTTTATAGGCCTACATGCTGAAACTTCCAGATGAGGAACCCGAGGCACAGAGAAGCTATCCTGGCAGTAAATGGCAAAGGGGTGATTCAAACCAGTAGCACCTTTACTTCCTCCTTTGATGTGGAAATGCAGAGTAAATGGGGGGAGGCACCTTTTGCTTTCTGAATAAACAGAATGAAAAACACATTGCTCTCCTTCCCTAAAGTCAAGTGTACTATTCTGCTAGGTGAGAGGAAGAGATAAGAGAGGAAAGAGCATCAGGAGAAAAAGGAATGTCCAAAGTAACTTGACTTGTCCAGAGTTTCGGTCCCATCAACTTCTCAAAAATTACATCCTTGGGACTTCTTCATCCCCATATGTGGTTCTCAAATTATTCACAGTTGCCTCTGGGGGTAAAGTATAGAAAGGTACTTCTCATTTGTATAAATTCCTACTTCATTTAATTTTTATTACTTTTACTTCTATTCCCATAAAAACCAAAACAAAAGAACTGGTTCTCATAGCTGTGAAGACTCCTGGTACTGAGACCCTTGAACGAGGCCCTGCCAGGCTCCTGGGGAATCCAGCCACAGTTCTGGGTGTCCTCCAACTCCCTAGTCTTCTCCTCTGCCTGATTTCAACCTGAGGTTCAGGTGCAACATACCTTCTCCAGCTCATCAAATTTCTGGGCAAAAAGCTCAGGAATCATTTTAATTAACACTTACTTGCTCTTAACCAGATGTTCCAGTTTGACATTTTTGGGGGTGGGAGGTTAATGATTTTGAGTAACCATGCTGACTTTCCTAATGATATTTTTGCATTCCCATTGAGCCTTCCTATTAACCCCAGTCAATGGGAAGAAAAGCAAAATTTTAACCCATGTTGGACAGTAGCAAATAAAAATTTAAAAAATCCCCGCTCATCAACAATGAGGGAGAGTGAAAGGGGAGATTCCTCCATAACTCTCAAAGCAGAGGCAATCCTGGTCCCAAGGGTGCACGCAGTGATATCTGTAGATATTTTTGGTTGCCACAATAAGAAGTGGTGGTACAAATGACATCTGGTGGGTAGCAACTAGAGATGCTACCTAGCAACCTACAATGCACAAGGCAGGCCCCTCAAACAAAGAATTATCAGATACAAAATGATATTAATGTGTAGGCTGAGAAACCCTATTGAAGAAGGCTAATTTCAACTAGTGGTCAAGCTCTCCAGAGGCTTAGCACTACGGTGCGCAGCCAAATTTAGTGAAAAAAATAGGACAGAAACGACACATACAAAGCACCTTCCCGAGATTAAGCAACTTTTGTTCTTTCCTGGCTACGTTATGATCATCATTTTGGTTTCTGGTAGTTTCTTTGCAAGTCTTTGTAAAATAACATTTCAGCAGTCTGGTTATTTCAATCAACTCAGAGAATCAGAAAGGATATTAACATGAGCACATTATCTGGCAGAAACCCTAACAATTATTTTAAAACAAAAGCTTCCACAAATGAGAAACTAAACACTCAAGTTCTCATCATACAAAACCATTAGGAGTATTACAGTCCTTTTAATAATCAACAGGGGCTCTGGCCGGCTTTGCTCAGTGGGTAGAGCCTCGCTCGGCCTGCGGATTGAAGGGTCCACGGGTTTGAGTGTGGTAAAAGGCATATGACTGGGTTGTGGGCTCAATCCCCAATGGGGGCATGCAGGAGGCAGCTGATCAATGATTCTTTATCTTTACTGATGTTTGTTTTTTTTTTGTTTTTTTTTTTGCAGATAAACCAAGCACTTTATTTAATTGTAACAAGCATACACTCATTGCTACTTAAAACATTCAGGTCTGTGCCGAAAATGCTCCCTCTGTGGCTTCCAGAACCTTGTTTTCCCATCACCTTTCTCACTCCACCCTGGAGCTGGCGCCTTGGAAATCCTGTGCAGTGCAGGAAGCTCCAGGAGACTTCACCGGTCATGGGCTTCTCATCCCGCGGTGCGGAGCGGCCTCGCGGCGGCCACGGCCCCAGCGGACCTGGCCGTCCGCGCCCGCGGGGACTGGGCGCCGGGGACTCGGCACCAGGGACTCGGCGCAGGGGCTGCACGTGGCGGCCGCGGCCTACGGGACACCCGGGCCGCCCCCGGCCCGCCGCCGCCAGACCCCCGAGTCGGCCAGACCCCCGAGTCGGCCGCATTCCGACCCGGCCACCGGGCTCCGGCCGGACCACCGCCATGGCGCCTCCCCCAGGACCGCTCACCGACGCCGCCCGGACCCGAACGGGAAAAGCCTTTACTGATGTTTCTCTCTCTCTCTCCCTTTCCCTTCCTCTCTGAAATCAATAAAAATATACTGAAAGAAAATAATCAACAGGGAATATGTAAAAAGAAAACATACATATTGATACATGAAACTACCACATGCTTTCATTTTTCATTTCTCTGACTTCATTAAATTAGTAAAAATGTCATTATCTCCCATGCATGTTAAATGAACTAAAGACAATGAATTTCTTTTATTAGAGATAACTTCTAAATAATTCTGTCCTACACGATACTTTGTTGACGATAGAACAGGGTTATTTTATTTTCTGTAGTGGTGGAGTGGGTGTGGAGAGACCGAGATAGAGCACTGAACAATAGAGCTGGAATGCTATGGATTTCAAATAAAAATATATTTGCCCTCAAACTGTCCTGTTTGGTAATAGACTGTTAATGTTTGCAGCAAAGCCTTTCCTTCTCTCGCGTCACAAGCTATAGCTTAAACAAACCAACAAAACAAACGCTGGATGAATTGTTTGCATGGAAAAAGAGAGCCTGAGAAAAATCCTACAGAAATACACCTCTACCCAAAGATATTCACCATAGCAAGACATCTAGAAAACACCAAAGTCTAATAGCAAATTATTGTAGAAATTTTTATATTATGGAATATATAACCATTAAAAGAATACAGGAGACTATGCATATAGGTACATGAGCTAATGTGGAAAGATTCCTAAAGTACTGTAAGTTAAAAAATACCAAATTATAGAATACTACAATTATGATTCCATGTAACCTAACTAACCACATACACATAGGGGTATGGGTGTGTGTGTGTGTGTGTGTTAATGCACAGAGGAGGGGGAAAAAAACCTATTGAAAGTGAATACCTCTGGAGAAAAGAGAGAGATAAAAAGAAAAGAGGAGAGGCAAATGTAAAGGAGGATCATTCATTTTTCTCTCGAGTCTAGCATCCTGTTTTAGTTTTTTATGAGAACATAATACTTATTAAAGAATAAAACATAGGGGAAAATTATAGTCAAAACTAACTATCCATACATTGCTCCTCATTTGTCAGCCATAGAAAGATAAAATCACATAAGAGTCAACGGTTGAGAGGCAATCATTCAGTCCATTCTCATCAAGGAATTCCAAATCATCCTTAAACCATCACTGTGAAAACCCACACCTCACTCTTGTAGGAGAGGCAAGGCTGGCAGGCAGGGACAGGAATGCCTCGTGCAGTGACGAGTCACTTGAAACCCATCAACACAGGATGCCCGGCACTGAGGCTGACCTGCGTCGATGGCTTGCATCAAGCACTCATATGTGGTCTGAACCAGCTTCAGTGCTCCTTCATCCACATCGCCAACAAAGAACGTCTCGTTCAGGTCCCCATGATAGCCATTGCGATAAAGAGTGATGTCCACTGCAAAAGAATGTGCAAATATAAAGACCACATTTGGTTTTGGTTTTGTTAATCCTCACCCAAGGATATTTTTTCCACTGATTTTTTTTTTTAAGGGAAAGAGGGGTAGAGGAGAAAAGAGGGATAGAGGGAAGGAAAAAGGGAAAGGAGGAAGGGAGGGAAACAGCAACATTGATTGGTTGCATCCCACACATGCCTTGACTGGGGTCAGGGAACGAACCTGCAACCAAGGTACATGCCCTTGACCGAATTGAACCCTCAACCCTTAGGTATACAGGCCAACATTCTACCACTGAGCAACACTGGCCAGGGATTAAGACCACATCTGTTTTTATTTCAAAATCTAAGTTATTTCTCCAACATGACAGCATCAAAGCAGGGTAATGAGAAAAGTAACTTCTGCAGTCTCCTATTAGACCCCAATGGATGTGCAGTTACTGCCCGACAGACACTCCTTATCTACAATACAAATGAACTCACTGTGGAGAACAGACATGGTCACACACCGCAAGACAGACAGCAGGCTTTTATGATATTACTCTTACAGTATATTGATCATTTATGGCAGAAGAAAAATGCATCCAGGATACATTCGTGTAAGATCAATAACCTGAGTTAGTAACATTAAATAAAAGACTTTGTTACATTTGACATTAAACAGAAAATACTGCTTTAATTTATTCAACCAGTTTTTCCTCCTCTTGCTGAATCAATAAATAGAAAAACTTATACTACTCTTCACTTATTTTTTAAAAACTCGTTTTCCTTTCACTTATTTGTGAATATTCATTCTTCTCTTTGTCCCCATGTTTAAGAATACAGATTATAGCTTTAGCCCGTTTGGCTCAGTAGATAGAACGTAGGCCTGCAGACCGAAGAGTCCAGGGTTTAATTCTGGTCAAGGGCATGTACCTCAGTTGCAGACTCCTCCCTGGCCCAGGCCCTGGTTAGGGCTCATGCAGGAGGCAACCAATTGATGTGTTTCTCTCACACCGGTGTTTCTCTCTGTTTTTCCCTTTCTATTCCACTCTCTCTAAAAATCAATGGAAAAGTTTCCGTGGGTGAGGATTTAAAAAAAAAAAAGAATACAGATTATTACTATACCATTATAATACACTAAACATATACTAGAAAGCATATTCAATGAGTATTTTTAAACCTCGAATTTTCAATCAGCCCAAAATATCATCGAACAGTTGTGTTGTCTCTAGCATGATATATACATTCTAAAAAATCCCACATTATGCATGTAATAACAGGGCTTATATAAAAAACAGGGATGGGAAGGCACCTCAGAACCTTTGGAACTTTATTAACAGATACCCTAATTAAAGAAGTAACAATCCAAGTAAAAACAGCGTGTCCACTAGCATTTACTGCCAGCATCAGTTGGTGCAGTCTCTGCAACCTTCAACGTGTGGGCTCGTGTTACCTTGCTTAATATGTAGGTCCTTGAAGAGGCTGGATTACTAAAGAGACCAAGTTCGTCAATATTAAAAATACCATCTAGAGTAGTCTTCTTCAACATTGTTTTTTATCCCAGAGGAAAATGTCTGGCAGCTTCTTCCTCTGCACTTGCAACTTCCCAAGAGAGCTTAACTTCTTACAAGGAAGGCACTTCTGCAAGATTTCTAGCTTTTTTCTTAAGGTTTTCATATACTAGTATTACTAAGGATTTCTCTTTATCTGTAAGAAAATCTGCTCTTCAAAACCATTAGTAGACTAAAAGAAAAAAGAAGCCGAAACCGATTTGGCTCAGTGGTAGAGAGTCGGTCTGCAGACTGAAAGGTCCCAGGTTCGATTCCGATCAGGGACATGTACATTGGTTGCGGGCACATCCCCGGTGGGGGGTGTGCAGGAGGCAGCTGGTCGATGTTTCTCTCTCATGGACGTTTCTAGCTCTCTCTCTCTCTTCCTCTCTGTAAAAAATCAATAAAATATATTTAAAAAAAGAAAAAAAAGAAAAAGAAAACTCTCACTTGAATCAACATTACTCCCGATTTCACTGACACCTTTCACTTATTTACCAATCACTTGATAATCTGCATTAAAGAAATACATGCTGTACCAAAGGCATCATACTAGAAGTATCTTAACACCATAAGAAAAAGTTTTCACAGACTTAAGATTTAAAATTTTAAATATGAAAAAGGATGTTAAAGACAGAAAGCCAGTGAAGAAAACACAGGTCATTATCAGACACCCACCAAGCCTTGTTGTTTCTTTATTCATAGTGACCAAAGTCACACTTACATATTTCTTACCGTTAACAATATCACCTTCTTGCAAGGGCCGTCTGTCTGGAATTCCATGACAGATAACTTCATTCACTGAAGTACAACAAGACTTTGGGAAATTATAATAATTCAACGGAGAAGGATAGCAATTTCTTGCAACGCATGCCTACAATAAATTAAAATATAGTGAAAATAATTTGGAATGTGTAATCTTGCCCAATTAACCAGATTTTAAAATTTAAAAACTGAAAATATTTGTTGTACAGATGCCTTTAAATGAAAAATTTGCTTAATATTTTATTTTAGAAATAGCAATTGTTACAATAGGGTTTGTGCTTGTCAGACAGACTATAGGCAAAACCAATCCAAATTCCTGATAATGGAAAAGAAAAGCAAATTTACTATTACAAATATATACAAATATGAAAATTCTAGTGTAGAATTAACTACTTATGAAAATGTATTATTTCAAATAAAAAGATAATATTTAAAGTAAATATTAACATGTTCTTTTAACCTTATATAATAAAAGTCTAATATGCTAAGTTGTCCAGTTGACTGGTTGGCCATTCAACAAATCAAAGCATACTATGCTAATGATATGCTAAGGCCACTCAATCGCTTGCTATGACATGCACTGACCACGAGGGAGGCAGACAGTCGACTGGTAGGTTAGCTTGCTGCTGGGGTCCAGCTAAGCGAGATGGGCCAGACTGAGCGAAATGGGCTGGACATGCCCTGGATCCCTTCTGCAGTCCCTCCCTGGCTGGCCAACCTCCTGTGTCCTCTCCAACCCCAATCGTACACTGGTGGGGTCCCTAGGCCTGGCCTACACCCTCTCACAATCTGGGACACCTCAGGGAATGTCAGAGACCCAGTTTTTGTCCCAATCCTGCAGGCCAGGCCGAGGAACCCCCCTGATGCACAAATTCATGCACCAGGCCTCTAGTGTAATTATAATTATAATTTATCATACAGAACTAGCCTATATACCTGTAACCAAAAAATTAATAATTAATATAACCAAGAAATAGTAAAGTACTTGAATTTTAATTACTACATTCATGTGGAACAACAAAGAAATCTCTAAGAAAATGGTCTGGTTTTCCATAACAAGTCCTATTTTTATTTTACTAAGATATTTTTACACAGTGGTAGTCACAGCATATATAATTTTTTTTTTTCACACCACCACACAGTCTTCAGACTAATAATTTTTAAATAGTTGCACACAATAACTTTATTGACAATTACACTATTATTTGAAATTTAAATTATGTCTTCAGTTACAAAAGGTATCGCTCTTGGCAAATAACTACCTATCACTTTTGCCTTGCTTAACAATATACTTCCATGTTTCTTACAACAGATTCTCATGACCAAAAATGTCAACTCCATACAGCTTGTGTAACCATAGGCAAGTTAACCTCTGTCTCAGTTCCTTACCTTTACAATGGAGGTGCTAGCAGCGTCTCTCTCGTGGAGTTGTTGAGGGCATTCAGTGAGTAAAAGAAGCATGTGAAAGAGCACCTGGCCCACAGGAGGACTCACGGTGCTATTACTGCACACTACGTATTTTATCACATATGGAACAATAACCAAAAATCAAAGTTTATAAAACTCTGAATATGTTTTTAAGCCATTTTTATGCTCAAGACACATTGTCAAATTTCCTTTCAAAAGAATTGTCTCATCTTACAATCACACCACCTCATTTCATTATCCCCAAATAGGCAGTGAATATAAGCACTTTTAAAAATCTGTAATAAAAGAGTAATATGCTAATTAGACCAAATGTCCTTCTGAGTGTCATTCCAGACATCCTTCTGGACAAAGCCGAGGCTACAGCAAAGCCTGGGTCCCGGGTGCCAAAGGGAAGCCAGTGCCAGCAGCCTGGGGAAAAAAGGCCTACTCTTGCATGAATTTTTGTATATTGGGCCTCTGGTACTTAATAACATAGTAGAACTTCATGATTTGCATTTGTTTAATGACCAGAGTAAATTTAATTAGTTTTCCAGGTGATTTCTTAACTAGTTATTGCTCTTTTTTTGTGAGCATTTTACTCATACACTCATCTACTACAGGGTCTATATTATATTTATTACAAATACAGAGATAAGCAAAGGTATGTTTACAGTTATTCATATGGAAAATAATACATTAATAAATAATACAAGAATAAACTGTGTTTTGTATACTTATAACTGTAAACCTACATTGGCCCACATACTGTGTCTAGCCTATTATTGCCTTGTGACTGTGGGTATGAAAGGGAACATTTTTTCCACTAATTTAGTTTCAGAACTTGTATTCTTTTTATTTCAGAGTATTTGATGTATGTAGTGGCATGATTTAGTTCAAGCACCAATAAAATTAATACATTTTATAAAAGCTAAACTAAAATGTTATGAAATGTGAGGTTTTAGAAACAAGGTATTTCATAAACACTTAAAGATGGAAATAAAGACTACTGAGTATTTTCTACATTTAAAATAAAGTAAAAATATGATTTCAAATTAACATAGTCAAGTTACTTTAGACATTCAGAACTTGAGTTTAGTTCTCAGAAGTCTAAAACATTAAATAATGTGGAAAATGTTAAAACATAAAAGTAAAGTCCTTACTAAGTGCACAGCATGATCTATTTCTTCAGTAGTAACACCTGGTTTAATCATTCCAGCAGCAATGTCCAGGACTTCTCTAGCAAGCTGTAAAAGAGAAACCCTTGTTATATTCCAGAAGAAAAGAAACAGAAATCTGCCCTATCACAGATTTTGCGAAGATTAATAAAATGCACCTCACCTTGAAGGTTATAATCCTGCCATTTTTTAAAACCATTTGTATTTCTGATGCCTATCAATATACATGTGTGTGTAAACACATAAATAAAATTGGGCTAGCTAGTAAATAGCTTAATAAGTAAGTCTGACTGATTTCTATGTGAAAATGCACATCGTAAGTAGTCTACACAATGATCAACTGATAGAGACTGAGTACTGTTGTATTTCTATAATGGGGAAGGGAAGGGAGGGAAATAAAAGAATAGATGAATGATTTTCCTCAAAGAATCACAGCACATAAGTGATGGAAACATAAATTTCTCCAGATTACCAAAGAAAATTAGTATCCAATCATTTTTAAGCACTGAATAAAAACTTTTTCTAAATCAGCAATATCCCCCTAGCCTGTTTGGTTAGTGGTTAGAGCATTGGCCTGCAGACTTAAGAATCACAATCCTGTTGAAGGAAATGTATCTCAGGTTGCAGCCTCAATCCCCCTGCTCTGGTTGGAGCATGAGTTGAAGGCAACCAATGTGTTTCTCTCACATCAATGTTTCTCTCTCTATCTATCCCTGTCTCTTCCACTCTCTCTCTAAAAATCAATGGAAAAAATATCTCAAATGAGGATGAAACAACAAGCAATAGCAATTTTTCATTTTTTCCTTAGAAAAATGTGAACATGTGACTTCACTTAATAAATATCAGCCTTGCCAAAACCGGTTTGGCTCAGTGGTAGAGCGTTGGTCTGCGGACTGAAAGGTCTCAGGTTCGATTCCAGTAGAGGGCATGTATATTGGTTGCGGGCACATCCCCAGTGGGGGGTGTGCAAAAGGCAGCTGGTCAATGTTTCTCTCTCAACGACGTATCTAGCTCTCTATCTCTCTCCCTTCCTCTCTGTAAAAAATCAATAAGATATATTAAAAAATAATAAATAAATATCAGCTTTACTACTCCCTGCATCAGTATTTCACAACAGGAGCTTTAGGTGAACTTTAAGCCTTAAACTCTGCCTTAAGTTATAATGACTTATGAAAATAAGATGACAAAATGTCATAAAAACTAGATTCTTTAAAAACATAAGGGTTAACCAAAATAGACTCTCAACTGTATATATACTTCCTGCCATATTTTTCAAATAGGTTATTTAAGTATATAACAGCTGTTTTATATACTAGCAGAACTATATACCAACAATCTACTAATAAAAGGTTAATATGCTAATTAGATCAGATCTTCCAGACGTCCTACCAGACAGTCATGGTGGCAGGGCCGAGGCAGAGGTGGTTAGGGGCAAGCAGGACAGCAGAGAGGGGCAGTTGAGGGCGAGCAAACTGGCAGGGGGCAGCTGCAGGCAATCAGGCCAGGGGGGGAGGAGCAATTAGGGGAAAGCAGGCCAGCAGGCAGAGTGGTTAGGGGCAAACAGGCAGGCAGGTGAGCGGTTAGGAGCAGCGGTCCCGGATTGTGAGAGGGATGTCCCAGTTTGGCGAGGGTGCAGGATGTTCTGAGAGACACCCCCACTTCGTGCACAAATTTCATGCACTGGGCCACTAGTAGTTTAATAAAAAGTACCTAAGCATGGCTAGTCATAGCCTTACTATAGAGCACATCCACCCTTTGTAATCCAGCAAGTCACTGCCTTCTTTTCTAATAACTGCTGAAATGTGCTCTACCCCATGAGGTAAAAAACTCTTACCCTACATACGAGTCGCATCCCTTCTATATCTTCCGATGACAGTAATTTAATTTGAGAAGTACCCTTAAGAGCTTGTTCAGATTCAGACATTCCTGGAAAGGAAAATCAGTAAGTAAAGCCAAGTGAATGGAAATCTGTAGTATTAGTCATAATTATATCCCTGATGACATAATAGTCAAGTTTCACTATTTCACATAATGATATTTCATAATTTAGGAGGATCCGGGTTGGATTTTTAAAAAAATATATAATTTATTGATTTTCTTACAGAGAGGAAGGGAGAAGGATACAGAGTTAGAAACATCAATGAGAGAGAAACATCAATCAGCTGCTCCTGCAACGAAGGTACATGCCCTTGACTGGAATCTAACCTGGGACCCTTCAGTCCGCAGGCCGAAGCTCTATCCACTGAGCCAAACTAGTCAGGACCCAGTTGGATTTTTTTTTTTTTTTTAATATTTTCAACACGAAAAGGACATTTGCTAAGTAAACTGAAGGGCGAATTCTAAAGAACAAATATAGAGATCTATGAGAACTCAGTCAATATGGAGTATGGCAGGCAGTATGCTAGTAAAAGTCAGTAAATTACTCACATTTTAATAGTACCACACAATTTACAAACTGCTTTCACGATCATCATCTAATAAGAAAACTTTATACTGACAACTGATGAATCAATTATACACATTTATTTTTTTTAACAGGAACCCAAGTCAGTGTTTTTCAAACTGCTGTTTGTGATCCATCAAGTAAATAAATGAAATAGAAAATAATAGGCTATATTATATAGAGTAGGGGTAAGTACTATCATGAATTTTTTTCCCCCCTAAGAATCTTCATTAATAAAATTATCTTAACTCAAATTATTCATATATTTACCAGGTGTGCCGGCTAATAATGCAGATTTTGTAATCAAAGAAAATACAATAATTTCAAGAGAAACATCAAAAGTGCTTTATTCAAAGCAATGTCCATCGCTAGCTACACATTTTCCCCATCTTTCAGGTAATTTGTGGATACCATCCCAAAAAACTTTTCTTGTTTTGAGGCAGATCATCCAGAGACCCAATTTTCCATTTCCACTTCTTCATATGTTTTGAAATGCTACTCAGAAAGTACATGTGCCATTGATCAGAACAAGTGCTAATTTGAAGGAGCAAGGTCTGGTGAATATGGAGGATGGATGAATACTTCCCAGGCAAGATCTTTTAACATATCTTTAACTGATTTTGAAGAGTGTGATGGTGCATTATCATGAAGCAAAATTACTTTGCTGTGTCTTCTGGCTAATTCTGGTCATTTCACAATCAAAGCATGGTTCAAATTGATTATTTGTTGTCAGTAACGATCAGTATTAATGGTTTCACCTGGTTTTAGATGCTTATAATACACCACACCCTTCCTGATCCCACCAAACACAGAGCATTGTATTCTTTCCAAAGCGATTTGACCCTGCAGTTGATGTTGATGGTTGACCTGGATCAACCCATGATTCTGTTCGTTTGGGATTCTCAAAATAAATCCACTTTTCATCGCCAGTCACAATTTAATGCAAAAAAACAAACAAACAAACAAACAAACAAAAAAACACCCAAAACTTTCTTTTGTACTGTTGAAGCAACATTTTACTGATGACTTTTCAGTTTCCCATTTGTCTTTCGTTCAGTTGATGTGGCACCCATTTTCCTATCTTTGAAATCTTTCCCACTGCTGTAAACCAACAGAAATTGTTTACTGAGCAATATTTAATCTTTCTCCAAGTTGTTTTTGAGTTTGACACGCATCTTCATCCAAAAATGCTTGTAATTGTTGGTCTTCAAACTTTTTCGGGTAACCTGAATGTTCTTTGTCTTTCATATCGAAATCATCACTTTAAAAGCATTTAAACCAGCATTCACACATATCTTGAGATGGAGCATGTTCACCATAAGCTTCCCAAAGTATTCAGTAGCACTTTTCTTCAAAGTAAAGTAACGAATTAAAACTTTCCACTAATGCTTTTTCGACAAGAAATTAAAAATTTTTAAGCATAAAAATATGTATTATGTTAAAACAACTTCAGAAAATTTGACGTATGAAATTTTGAAGCTTACTGTCAATACAACAAAATAGCATACATATCAAATTGTATATATATCAACATATGTGCCACTCTATCTATTGAAAAAAATCCACCTGGTAAAAATATCAGAGCCAGTATAATAATTATTTCAAAATCTGACAAAAAGAATATAAGAAACCATGAACTAATATTTTTTTAAATATATTTTATTGATTTTTTACAGAGAGGAAGGGAGAGAGATAGAGAGCTAGAAACGTCGATGAGAGAGAAACATCGACCAGCTGCCTCTTGCACACCCCCCACCGGGGGATGTGCCCGCAACCAAGGTACATGCCCTTGACCGGAATCGAACCCGGGACCTTTCAGTCCGCAGACCGACGCTCTACCACTGAGCCAAACCGGCTTCGGCTGAACTAATATTTTTAAATAAATGTGGATATAAAAATCCCAAATAAAATATTATTAAATAGAATCCAAAATACATGTAATACCCCATGACATAAGTGGAAAGACACAATATTAACAAATCTAGACATATAATTCCTCACAGCCATAGATTAAGGAAGGAAAAATAAATGATCATCTAGAAAAATAATTCTGGCCGGGACCGGTTTGGCTCAGTGGATAGAGCGTCGGCCTGCGGACTGAAAGGTCCCGGGTTCGATTCCGGTCAAAGGCATGTACCTTGGTTGCGGGCACATCCCCAGTAGGGGGTGTGCAAGAGGCAGCTGGTCGATGTTTCTCTCTCATCGACGTTTCTAACTCTCTGTCCCTCTCAATTCCTCTCTGTGTAAAATCAATAAAATATATTAAAAGTAAATAAATAAATAGGAAAATAATTCTGATAACATGGCCAGCATGACAAATATAAATCTCATGCCAACAACCCATATCATGGAATGCCCATGTCAGTAACATTTTTTTATTTAACATTATTTAACATTGTTCTGACAGTAGTAGGAGGTATGTTAAACAATAAAAAGAAATGACATATTAAATTAGAAAGAAAGGGACAAAATCTTTACTAATTTCAGATATGATTACATATCCCTACAATAAGTAGACACCTGGTGAATGACTAGAAATAATAATTTAGCAAGTTGGCAGATTGTAAGTTAAATATGTCAAAATCAATAGCTTTCCCATATACAAACAATGAGTTAGAAAATATAGAAGATACTATTTACAAGAAGTAAAAAAAATAAAAATATCCAGAAATTAACTTAATGAAAGACATAGTGAAGAAAGTTTTAAAATACCACTGAGATAGAAAAAGAGACTTAAATGAAATAGAAAAACATACCCTGTTCTTGGATAGGAAGATTCAATATTTTTAATGTGTCAATTCGTCCAAAAGTAGTCTATAAACTTAATACTACCCCAATTAAAAAATGGCAACAGGATATTTTGGGGACAAGTTAATTCCAAGTTTCACATGCAAAAACAAACATGCAAGAATAGCCAGGAAAATTCTGAAAAAAAGGAAAGGTAGGGGCAACAAGACCTACCAAATATTAAAACATTATATAGCTATAATAGTTAAGAGTTTGGCAATGGCACATGATTAGACAAATGGGTTAATGAAACAGAACAGAATCCAAAAACAGACTCAAAGACATGTGAGAATTTAATACAATTGTATAGGGTGCATTTTAAATTATGAGGGGGAAAAAAAGAACTAATATTTTAAATAAAATAACTTGTGGTGTGACAACCAGATATTCTTCAGGGGAAAAATAAAGTTACATTTGTATTAAATTCCTAATCCTGAGGCTGCGAGGGAAGCCCAGGTCCCGGGTGCCTGCCGGTGGCCAGAGGGAAGCCGGTGCCGGCAGCCGGGGGAAGGAAGGCCTGCTCTTACACAAATTTCATGCACTGGGCCTTTAGTCATTTTATAATAATCTCTGAACCAAAAAGTCTTCTCCTATATTATTAAGCTCTAAACACCTCACAGAAAACACTGATAAATTTTATTACAGAAAAATGTTGAAAGTTTGCCATAAATATAATGCTATAAACAAAGACAAAATGTTCAATAGGGAAAAATCTTTTATAGAACACACATCAAAGGATTATTTTCCTTAGTAGAGAAAGAACACTTATAAATCAGTATGGAAAAAACTAGTAACCTAATTGGGAAAAGGCTAAGAGGAATAGACAGATGTATAAAAAGATGCTTAATCTTCATAACTTAAAAATATAAATTAAAGTAACACAAAATATCATCTTTCAGATTAGCACAATTCATATAGCTTGAAAACACACTATGTTAGGGGAGATAAGGAACAAAAGACTCCTTTATAGTTTTTAATAAAAATGACAACTGGCAAAATTGCTTAAAATTGTTATAACTCTCAAAATAAAAAAATACATGTATTCCTTGATCTAGGTATTTTACTTTAGACAACTGACCTACAGAAATACTCTTACATGCAATAATTACTACAGTCAAACAAGTAAAAACCTGGAAATAATCTAAACATACATTAGTAGGAGGAGCCTGGTTTAATAAATTTATGATGTATCCACATAATGAAATACTTGTCATTAAAACAAGGTGAAAATAAAAAAAGAATAAAGCATGGTGAAAAGATGTATTAATATATGGTTTGGTCCTACTGTGTATAATTAGGGTGGGGGGCTAATGTGCATACACATATAAAAGATCTCTGGAAAATTTGCAAGAAACTTAATAATGATTCTACCCCTGGGGAGTATGACTTACTTTTCACTATATAACATTTTATCCTATCAGAATTTACCACGTCTATGGTGATTTTAAAACTACATTAAAAAACAGCCGAAACCAGTTTGGCTCAGTGGAAGAGCATCGGTCTACGGACTGAAAGGTCCCAGGTTCGATTCCGGTCAGGGGCATGTACGTTGGTTGCGGGCACATCTCAGGTAGGGAGTGTGCAAGAGGCAGCTGGTCGATGTTTCTCTCATCTACGTTTCTAGCTCTCTATCTCTCTCCCTTCCTTTCTGTAAAAAAAAAAAAATCAATAAAATATTTTTTTTTAAACTACATTAAAAAACATTAAATACAGCCCAGCCGGTGGGGCTCAGTAGTTGAGCATCAACCCATGAACAGGGCAGGGCACATGCCTGGGTTACAGTCTCGATTCCCAGTAGAAGGCAGCCGATCAATGATTCTCTCTCATCACTGATGTTTCTAATCTCTCTCTCCCTCTCTGAAATCAGTAAGAAAACTATCTTAAAAAAATATTAAACAGAGTAATGAACTTATACATCCTCAAGAGCTATCTATCATTCAGACTATCTTTTCCTTCAATGTATCTGAAATAGTGAGGTTTAACTAAGTTTTAAAATTATATTCATAAAAATGTGATATGGTTCCCCACTTATTAGAGAACAAAGCAAAGGCAACTAAGCTTAACAGATTAAACCACATGAAAATGAATATTCAATCATTTTTGACAAAATATCAAATAATCCAACCTAAATTATGCCCATAGGCCCTACGATCAGAGACTTCTCCACTCGTGCTACAAATTACCTCTTTTCTCTGGGTCTCTCCCTTCATTATCTGTAAAATGGAGAAGACAACAGAATCCACCCGAGGAATAACACCTGAGAACTTAGCATAGTGCCTGACATATACTTATGAAAAAATATCACTTACAGAATCATCACCAGTATTACTATAATCATTGCCAATAATACCAGGTTCTATTACTTCTATAGACCAGTCTTTAGTTAGGCATTCATTTGAAGCCTCCAGAATCTGTTTTTATCTAAATATGTTTTATGTAATTAAAGTATAGAACATGTTAAATCAAAATGTTTTTTTAAATCTAGAATTTGATATAAAAACACAAAATTCAATATTATGTTGAATGTAGTCTTAACATTTAAACATTTTCAGAATTGGATAGATTTCTTCGAAGAAGAGTCTTTAATTTTCTCAAATGTTCTAGTTTAAAAGGTTATGTTTACATTTACTAGAAATTCAGCACTAAAACAAACAATAAAAAGAAATCCAGCACTGAAAAATTTCTCCACAGAAAAGCACTCCTTTCTTTGCAGTGGTCATCAGGCTCACAAGCTGAAAACTGAGGAATCAGCATCATAAAACTCACCTAAAGGATGATCAGCATAATCTGGTCTTTGAATATAACTTGGCACAGGCCTGGTTGGCATCTAAAAACATCAAAAGATATGTGTTAGTTAAAACCAATTTAAATCTGAAATTAATCATCACTGTTAAAATTTACTAACAGAGGCCCTAACTGGTTTGGCTCAGTGGATAGAGCATTGGCCTGCGGACTCAAGGGTTCCAGGTTCGATTCCAGTCAAGGGCATGTACTTTGGTTGTGGGCACATCCCCAATAGGGGGTGTGCAGGAGGCAGCTGATGGATGTTTCTCTCTCATCAATGATTCCAACTATCTCTATCCCTTCCTCTCTGTAAAAAAAAAAAATCAATAAAATATATATTTTAATATAAAAAATTACTAACAAAGGAAATAAAAGTGAGAAAAAAACACTAAAAAGTTCATTCATTTCATTTAAATAAAAAAAGTTTTAAATGACACCTTATCACAATATGTCTATTTCATGAAGATTAAACTTAATTTTCCTAGTGCTAATGCCACTTAAATATCCTAAGTGGGGAGATCTCTAAGTAAATATACACCATTAGGTTCATTATTATCTCTGGGAGCTAGTATTAAAAAGATGTTCTCACAATGTTGATATATGCCCAAATTTTTTAAAGATGTATTTTTTATTTTTTTTTAAATCAGTTAAAAAATGCCAATATTTGTGGATGGTAAATTGATTTCAAATTAAATGGATTTCTATGTTAACATGCTGAAGCCCATCTGACAAGAACATAGGAAGGAGTGGGAGTGGCAGGAAAGCTCTATCAAACTTAAGGTAGAAATATATCACGTTAAACAATTTTAGAAAGGTAAGCAATATACACTACCACCATGCCAGCCAGAAAATATCTATTCTACTATTTCCTTTTTTAAGATTAAAGAAGTTTTAATCCTTTCATCAAAAAATTTTTTCTTATTCCAGAATTGCCAGTTATCCCTATTAACTTCTAAATAATGTTCCATAAAAAGAGCTAGAATGTGAACTTAATCCTGATTATATAATTCATAATTGAAATACAAATTTTTGGTAAACTGCAAATTGGTTTTAAGAACGTTAAATGTGTATTACCTTATTTACTCACCAGTGGATAATGTGGTCGGAGTTTACCCGTGTATCGATAACCTGCCCATGGGTCAGTATTAATATCACCTTCTAGACTCCAGGAAGACAATTCCCGCTTTGCCTTTTCATCTTCTACATGATAGATGGATGAGAGAGGAAGAAATGCTTCAGTGGTCAAACTACTGAGCAGCAGCATTCTTTAACTGTAACTTGTGTGAACACTACACCAAAGAGTACAGGTTCAAAAACCCAACAAACTCCTGCCTTAGCCTATCTCACCAGAGCTAATGTTTTCTTGCTATGTTTACAACCCTATGATACCTCAAAGATCTGAGTGTCTTGTGAGAAAAAGCCCAAGCTAACCATATTGTAAGTTGTTATACATTATTGACTAGGAACAGCTCATACTAGAACTCCTGTCCTCAAGCAAATGCTAAATCTCTACAAGATCAATTTATAGGAAGCCCCTTTTGAAGTACATATAAAGTATGAGCCAAGGCAATATTTCAAATTGCTTTGAAAAATTTATGAGCATCATTTGCCTTTTCTCAGTTCAGGGGTAACAGAAGAAATTAGAAAAAGTTAAAGATAGCCCTAGCTGGTTTGGCTCAGTGGATAGAGTGTTGGCCTGCAGACTGAAAGGACCCAGGTTCGATTCCAATCAAGGGCACATGCCCAGGTTGTGGGCTCGATCCCCAGTGTGGGGCATGCAGAAGGCAGCCAATCAGTAATTCTCTCTCATCATTGATGTTTCTATCTCTCTTCCTTCCTCTCTGAAATTAATTATTTTTTTAAGGTACAGATGAGGGAAGAGAACAATCAGTAAAAAAATCACTGAAACCTCAGTAGAAAAATTTAAGAATTACACACACACACACACACACACACACACACACACACACGCACACACACACAAACAACCATTTACCAGGTTACAGTTACTACTACATAATGTTACATTTAGTGAAATGTACCTAAGACTCCTTTTCATACATAACAGACCAGACTCTCTATGGTATTTCACATAAGCAAATTGTACCTCCATCTACAATGAAAAACAAAACAAAACAAAACAAAACAAAGCAAACACACACACACACACACACACACACACACACACACACAAAACAAACAAACATACAAACAAACACTAAATAGACCTTGAATAGCAGGAATTAAATCCCTCCAGTGTCAACCTATATACCTCCCAAGGCAACTCATCTTTTCCTGATTACTGCCATGCTATCACAAGTTTTGAAAGTCAGGCTTTAGGCAATTGTAGAGAAGTATATGAGAAAAATAAAACTCCCCCTTTACATTTACATATATTTAAAGTACAAAATGGGGAAGAAAAGATGAAATCATACCATATTAAGCTAGTGAGGAATGGTGAAATGGATGAAGGTGGTCAAAAGATACAAAATTTTAGTTATAAGAAATATGTTCTAGAGATGGAATGTATAATACAGCATGGTGACTGAAGTCAACAAAAACAACAAAAAGACAATCCAGTCAAATTTCCTCATTTTACAGATGAGGAAACTGAGGTAAGGGGAGATTTCCAGTAGCCAATCCATTTGCATTGCTCTGGAAGATAATACAATGATAATATTACATATAAAGTACAGAAACACAAAAGAATAAGAATGGAAAAACAGCCGAAACCGGTTTGGCTCAATGGATAGAGCGTTGGCTTGGGGACTGAAGGGTCCCGGGTTCGATTCCGGTCAAGAGCATGTACCTTGGTTGTGGGCATATCCCCAATGGGGGGGTGTGCAAGAGGCAGCTGATCGATTACTCTCTCTCATCGATTTTTCTAACTATCTCTCTCCCTTTCTCTCTGTAAAAAATCAATAAAATATATTAAAAAAAAAAAAAAAAAAGAATGGAAAAACAAAAGAAAACCTCTCCTGTGCTACTGAATTTTTAGTATCTTTCTCCCTAAGGAATTGAAGAAAGCCACTGTGAATGTTAATGTCAATAGGAAAACTGTCTCTCACCCCAGGACAAAACTGGACTGCATTCATTGCCTCAGAAAATTACAAAAAATTACTTAGAGATGCAGGTCCACTGATGCCTGCTTCAGCTATGAAAAGAATCAAGTGCTTTTGTCTGGAATGAGAACAATTTTCACCTGAAACATAGGGCAGAATAACAAGATGCAGGTTTTGTTTTAACAAACTCCTGCGGAGGGAGCAAGAAAAAAAAAAGATAAAACCTTTCAAAGCTTCCAGCTGATTAGCATTTCAAGTTTTCCACAATCTGTTTTCAAAAGAGAATTAAAAGCAGACTTCAAACAAATAATACATACAACCAAAGATTCCTAGATGAGATTGAAATTTGGCAAGTTCTTTTCGAATAACTTATTAGGAAAATGTACATTTCAATAGTCAGTTTACATTTTAGGATCAATTTGAGCTGAGCCCTAAGTGTTAGACATGTAATGGACACCTAATTCAGCTGAATTGGACTTGGCGTTGGTAACAAAATTGCAAATTAACTGATGTTTTTCAAAAAGCTGTGAAAGCACAGGATAGTGTAAATAATACCTGAAAACTGAGTCTCACACACACACATCTGGGGATACATCCTATCCAGGCTTTAGTCTTTAAAAGGTTCTGTGCAGGCTGCCTCCTCTGGTCAGCTGACACAACAATATAGCTAAGCTTTGCATAAGACAGGATCATCTGATCACAAGTCTGACTCAGTTCTTCGAGAAATGACTATTAAATAGCTGTGGTGCACTTACTATGTGCACTGTACGCATGCTCAGTATTTTACATGGATTTGTTTGCTTAATCCTCACAACAGACAAAATTTCAGCATTTTGAAGGTGAGCTCAAAGTAATGTATGCTCACAAAGCTTTGGTAGAATCAATTCTGAAACATTACATAAAACCTTCACTCTGCAATCCAAAAATCAAGCACTCTAGTTTTGAGGGTAGAGGAGTGATTATTGAGATTTGGTTTGTTATTGTTTTTTAAAGAATTTTTACAGCATTTTTTGGCTACTCAAAAGACATCTATCAAATGCTTCCACCTCTTTAAGAAATGGGAGACAAGCACACTGAATAAATCAGTGATACGTAAAAAAAAATATAGAATAATAGAGTATTAAGATGTGAAACGCTACTATCTCCATTCTGGCAGGAAATAGGCACCTAAGCTTCAGCACTGTGCGCCTTTAATGCCTTTGCAATCTAACTGGTCCTTACTCTCACACACAAAAATAAGTCCTGGCTCTAGCTGGTTTGCTCAGTGGAAGGAGTGCCAGCATGCAGACTGTATGGTCCCAGATTCGATTCTAGTCAAGGACACATGCCTGTTTGTGGGCTTGATCCACAGAAGGGGGCGTAAAGGAGGCAGATCAATGATTGTCTCTCATCACTGATGTTCCTATCTCTCTCTCCCTCTCCCTTGCTCTCTGAAATCAATAAAAATACATCGTAAAAAATAATTTTTTTAAAAAAGTCCTGTCCTTGAATCATTTATTTAATTTACACTTGAAATTTTCCTAAGATCTGATTAGCTTCTGCAATCAAGAAAGGTTCGTATGATTTCACTGGTGAATTCTACTAAACACTGAAGGAAGAAATAACACCAATGTGTATAATCTTTTCCAGAAAACAAAAGAGGAGGGAACGCTTTGCATTGTATTAGAAATAAACTTACTCTAATGCCAAAACCAAAGACATTAAAAGCAAATTACAGAAATATCCCACATGGGCAAACATATAAATCAGGCATCCTTAATTAAAGATCAGTGCACACTACACCTTAAAAAAAAACAAAAAAAAAAACAAGGTCTAAGCATGTCATCTCATGACATAGACTACTTGATATCTTATCTCACTATTATTTCTTGGAATAAGTTGCTATGTTTTATGATGCCCTGTTCCTTCCTAACTAATATTCTTTCCCCCTAATTCCTTTTCCAGTAATCTTCTTAGTTCCAGCGAGGACCCTTCCCTAGACATTCTCTCTTCTAGGACTGTCATCCTCAGTGGTGTAATCAGGATCAATTTATTAGGGAAAAGATACAGGGTTAGTCAGCTGAGGGTTGTCTCTATCCAGCTCAAAGGGATCAAGAATATTAGACTCACCCACTGAAGAAAATTACCTCAAAAGATCCAAGAGGACATCACACTAAACACACAGTACAAGTAAAATCCAAATGGCCTCAGTTCAATGCAGTTAATAATTATGTTATTTTTCACTTGGGGCACATCAGTAGTTTAATTCTCTTGTAGTACAGGTTTTAATGAAATAACTCACCCTTTGAAATCCAATATTGAAGAAAGAGGCACATTTCAGTTAGTTAACAAAAGGTTGGGGTAGAGATTCATTTTAAGCTGTTTTACTAACATATTGCTTCACCTCAACCCTTCACTCACCTATGCTTTAACCTCCTGCTTATAAAATATTAATAACTGGCTTAAAGAGCTCTAAAATGCCAAACAATTAGAAATACAGCATTTTATCTATGAGTGGATAAAACTAAATGGCATTACTTAAAATCAATTTCTATATTTGATTTGAGGTAACAAATTCTGCCTTTTATGCTTTGAGAAACTCATTTATTCACAATAGCTTTCCTCCTCTCTAACCACATTTCCTCCCACAATAGTCTAGCATTTCCATTAAATGTAGACTTCTTTGCACAAGCACAGAAAATATTTTTAAACTGTTGATATAAAACAATCTATCAAACTTTATTAAATGAACAAATTCCTTTAAAAAAAACACACACAAGGAGATAAATAATAAAAAATACCAAGGTCAGTAAGCTGAAACAAAACCCTTATACCGAGGACCATGTGCTGTCTGTCTGACAAGCATTCATCTATCAGGATTGCAATGCATAAGAACAGAAACGCCCTGCCAATTTTCAGGTAATTGTGATGGGTTGTCTGTCTTAAGCCAGCCACACTAATGACATGAATTTACAAGATGAATGGCCAGAGCAGGAAAGGCCATTTCAATCAGAGACACATCGTGGTGGGTGACAGCAATAGCTAAAACAGCACCAACAGTTTCACTTCATGGTGTCTCACAAAGTAACATCGAAAGAGCAAATTAAACATCAGAGTGGAAGTAATAACATAACATGACCAAAAAACCTGAAGTAAATGACTTTTGAGTAGAAAAGCCATCAAAATTCAAACTAAACAAAAACAAAAGATCAGGCTAAATAAAGCCTGACAGCTCATGTGTCCCAGCCCACAATAAGCAAGCATTTCTAGCAAAGGAAAGACGGTGCCAAAGAGCAGACCTTCTCAGGTATCGCTCAAGCTTATCCCAGCAACCATTCATGTTTTCATGTCACATGTCATACAACAATGTCAACAAATATATTTCTCAACCACACTTTTTACATGATTACACACCATAAAGAATAAACAATATGTTCAAATTCTACCTTTTCAATTACACTCTTAGAATATTCAAATATGCACTTTCTGAATATTCAAACATACACTTTCAGAACTGGAAGAATTCTTATCTTTCACACAAAAGCCACTTCTAAGACATACAGTCTAGAGATGTATGATTTCACTTACTTGCTTTCTTATGTAGTAACTTGTGAGTAGCCCAACTTCCTTTAAAACATTCCTAAAAAAGCAAACATGAAAATCAGTGTTAGGCCTTCCTTTATTAGAAACATCTTAACATTGTACATAAGAAAGAGTTATTGGAAATTTCATTTACAAAAAGAAATCTTTGACTTCATTAAATATTGAGAAAAACTTAAAAAAATGATATCTGCTTAAAAATTCATTTCAGAAAGCAGCCTAAACTCTAAATTATTTCAAATAACCAAGAAACATTAATTTATATTGTAAATAGCAATCACAGTTACATTTCAAGTTTATGTCACTACATTATTTTGAAGTATTTTAAAATAATGTAGTGACATAATCATAAGAAAGACAAAGGAAAATGTTGCAAGTTTGATTTTCAGTCATACTCACTTTGTTAACTGTATGCTGACAGCCCTACTAGACTGACTTCCATGAAGGAAGGGACCATGTCGAACTTACCAACATGTCCCCAGAGCCAAGCAAGAGAGCCTACGCCTAGCACACGGTAATACTTGCTGATTGGACAAATGGATGAATGACTAGAAAGACTAAGCTTTTAACTTAGGAAAACTGGTTCATATAACATATTTCAGACACCAGCAAGAATTACTGAAGTGGAAAAATGAGTTCAAGTAATAAACTGAATTAAAATAACGAACTCAAGCAACAAATTAGAAAAATTATTCAATCGTATATATTACTAATGCTTTGATTTTTAGAGTACCTCCTTCAAAGAATTTACTCAAATACAGCAGTCGTCCTTATTACATTTTCACTTTCTGCACTTTCTGTTACCTGCAGTCAATTGCAGCTCAAAAATATTAAATGAAAAATTCCAGAAATAAACAATTTGTACATTTTATTTATTTACTTTGAAATATGTTTTTATTGAATCCAGAAAGGGTAGAACAGGGAAGGAGAGACAGAAACATCAAAGATAAGGGAGCATCATCAATTGGTTGCTTCCCGCCATTCCACACTGGGGATCGAACCCGCAATCCGGGCATGCGCCCTGACCAGGAATCAAACTATGATTTCCTGGTTCATAGGTGATGCTCAACCACTGAGTCCTCCAGCCAGGCCAATATGTACATTTTAAAGTGTGCTATATTCTGAGTAGAGCTGAAATCTTGCGCAGTCCAACCCCAGACACAAATCATATCCAAACTGAGTATATACACTGCCCACCTGTCTCAGTTATCAGACTGACTCACAGTATTGTAGGGCTGTGTCAAATAACCCTTATTTTACTTACTGGTAAAAATGGCCCCAAAGCACAAGAGTGATAATGGCAATTTGGATATGCCAAAGAGAATCCATAAATTTTATCATGGGTCTATATGAATAGGAAAAAATATAGTATAGGGTTCGTTACTACCCACAGTTTTAGGCATTTACTGGAGATCGATCATATGGGGGGTGAGAGGGAGTAGAGGGAGAACTATTGTGTATCATTACAAATATTAAGAAAATCCACAGCTTCCTACAAATGTTTTAACTTTGCAAACATAAAAGAGTAAGTCATGGATAAGAGAAAAGGTAAGAAAAAAATATAAAATAAAACATCCCTAGAACTATGTAGCTGCTAGGCAACTCTCCCTAGGGGTTTACCCGAGGGCCTCCGAGGGCCTCCAGGGCCAGGATCTTCACTATTTCCCCTTCGCTCCCTTGCATCCTCACAGCCTGCAGCAGCTAAGCCAAGAAAACCCAGGTGTACCTATTTTCTCCTACACCATCAACAGACTTCAAGTGTATAAAAAGGTATTCACAGCATCCTTAGATTTATTTTTATTTTTTTGAAGCTAAAACTGAGTTCCGTCTTTTGGAGAGAATGGAGATGTGGCGGGCAGAATAAGGCCGTGTTTCCCCGAAAATAAGACATCCTCCGAAAATAAGATCTACTTACAGATTTCCTTCTGAGTGAAATATAAGGCATCCCCCGAAAATAAGACCCCTTAGGCTAAACATGAGCTATTTGGTCCATTGATTCTGAAAGAAATGGAGTCCCAAGAAATTCACCAGGAAATTCAGAAATTGGATTGTTATGATGATGTTCCAGAAGATGATAACATGATTGTCATTGAATAAATGAGTAAATTCTTGATACTGTAGGATTCACAGTTTGTCTGGTTTGTGTTGACAACTACCATACTACCGTACTGTATACAGGTAATAAATTTCCTTTATTTTCATTTAACAATAAATGTGTACCATATTCTTCTTCGTGGAAAAATAAGACATCCCCTGAAAATAAGACCTAATTCATCTTTGGGAGCAAAAATTAATATAAGACACTGTCTTATTTTTGGGGAAACAGGGTAGTGCACCAAAGATGTGCACATCCTAATCCTCAAAATTTGTGACTAAGTTAGGTTACAACTATGGTAAAGGGGAATTAAAGGTCTGCTAATAAGCGGACCTTGGGATGGGGAGGGTCTCCTTTTATCTAAATGTGCCCAATGTAATCACAAGTATCCTTAAAAAGGTAGAAGAGGGAGGTAGAAGGAGTCAGGAAGATGTAACGATAGAAGCAGGGCAGGGAGAGATAATTACATGATTGGCTTTGAAGATGGGGTTGGGGGCCATGAACCAAGGGACAAAGGTGGCCTCTGTAATGACTGAAAAGGGCAAATAACAGATTCCCCCAGAGCCTCTAGAAAGGAATGCCAACCTGCCAACACCTGATTTTAGCCCTAAGACCTTTGTCACACGTCTGATCTACAGAACTGTAAGATAATCTGTTGCTAAAGCATCAGATTTGTGGTAATTTGTTATAGCACTTACAGGAGGGAAAATGAGTTATTCCTATCTGTTGTCAAACTGCAAAAACTAATCACAATTGGCAAAAAGATCAAGAAATTAGTAGAAAAACATATATTTATGGCACACAGAGGGATATTATGAATACTTTAAAAGTGCTAAGAACTGAGTGATTTCTTTTAGTATTACCACACCTACTCCAGAACAGAAAAGAAAAAGTCAATTTTGACCTATAATATGAACACAACCATAATAACAACTATAAAGTTGCTATTTACTGAATAGGTGCGATATAGGCCTACATCTCATTTCATCCTCACAAAAACCCTACAAGGCAGATGACATTATCCCTGCTCTACAAACGACAGCACTGAAGCACAAATATGCAATAATTTGTCTATCACATAACAGAACCATACCTGGCAGAAATAAGATTCAAACCCAGCTTTACCTGGCTAAAAGTGATACTTTCTCACAGCTTTGCGAGGTGTGGATGGGGGTTATGGGTGTGTATGTGTATTCAATTCAAAGCATAATTTAGCACTAAACTTAGAACCAGAAAACATGGGTGTGATTAAGCTCTACAATGTATTAGCTATACCACTGTAAGCTCTAAAATTTTATCTCTAAATCTGGAAAATGATATTATTAACCATTCTCATGGATGCTCAGTTGCCTCATCTATAGAAAATGGAGTTGATTTTCTCACTATTTTCTCACTATTTTGCTACATTTCTCCGGGAGCAGAAAATATAGCAGATTAGAGATGATGTAAATAACATGTATGAAAGTAGTTAACAAGTGTCTACCACACAGCAAGTATCAATGTAAACAATACCCCAGTGCTTATCAATATGCCTGGAACTGAACAGGTTTGCTCAATATATGTTGGAGAATGAACTAAGATTAATGTGATCATATACACAAGAGCCTTCTAGTTGTAGGTGGGAATGCCTACTAGGACAGGCTGCAAGCTGCCTACTCCATAGCCATTCTCTCTTTGCCTTAACACTAACAGAATCCTGCTAGTGGAGGTGTAATGTACCAGCTAAAAACATCCCTGGCCTCCTTAATAATACGGGACGCCATGTGATCTAGTCTGGCCAACAAAATGTAAGCCTAGCCGTAAGACAGGACTTCCGGAAAGCTTCTTAGAAAACAGACACGTATTTTCTATTCTTTGCCCTTTCCTGCTTCTATCAGGGAAATGCTGCCTGAGCTGAAGCAGCAGTCCTGAGGCCACAAAGCCACAAGCAGACCCCAAGAGGCCTGGATCCCTAGTGGCTGTGGGCAGAGATTGGAGTGAAGCAGTAGAACCTCTGGAGGGAGCCCTGCTGCACCTTGATTTACGTTCAGTGAAACTAATTTTGGACTTTCGGCTTCCAGAACTGTGAGAGGAAAATGTGTTGTTTTAATCCACTCAGTTTGTGGTGATTTGTTACAGCAGCCACAGGAAGCTGATACAGTAGCTGACCAGACATCAGAGCACAGCAGAAGAATGAATCCAATTACTAACTACGCTGAAACAGGGTGAAGGACTAATTACAGCCTTTCTGAAGCTTCTTCAACTTGCATGTACTTATTTATGGAGTCAACTCCCAATTATTCATGATCATTTATAAATGGGGCAAGCAAAGGCAGATGAGTTATTTTAAGAAACTTAACTTTAGCCAGCAATGTCAACTTCTCTTCCTCCCTGTCCAAGCTATTCTTCATCACCGATATGACTGGCAAAGGGGTGGGGCAGATTGGAGTCTCACCTGTTTTTCCTTCCTGGTAAAGATGCTTATGACAGTTAAGACTGTCAGCAAGAAAAAGATGAGGGATGGGAAAGAAAAGAAGTGAAAGGAAAAGCTCAAAGTAGCTCTTAGAACCCCAGTTTAAAGTCAGCCAGGCCCAGAGGCAAAGTCCCATCACCGAAGAATGTTTACTTTCCAGGCCTTAACACTAATGTTTCCTTAACACCAGACAAACTGTCTGCATACTAACTATACTTGGTATAATTTCCCACTCATTTTCATTATGCAAGCTTAGAACAGACCAACTGAATGTCTGCCCAATGAGAACTATATATGGCTAAAGTGGTATACACACCTCCTCGGTACCAATAGAGCCAATATTGTAGCACTACTATTTTTTCTGGTGGTCAGTGCACATCATAGTGACTGGTTGAGTGGCCTTAGCATATCTTCAGCATATTATGCTTCTTTTTTTTTAAAGATTTTCCTCTATGGGTTTTATTATTTTATTTTGTGTGTGTGTTTTTTTTTT